GGTTCCGTCTGACCCACCCAGAATCCCCTAGAACCAAGCCTGCTAAGACAGCTGTGGCAAAGATGCAGCTTGGGGCTCTGGCACAGAGCCAAACTGTGGCCTGCTTGAGGACAGCAGCCATAACCGTAGTCTCAACCGTCCCAGGCACAAACCACACTTCGAAGGACTATTATTGAGATTCTTTGAAAATACTCTGAACTCCGACGTTTCCCTCAATCACACTGACTTCTCACAGAGAAGGCACCTGAGCAAGCTCTACTTCAGCGCATCCATTGGGACGAGGGCTCGGTGTACACGGAACCTCTCCACGGATAGTCTTCAAAGCCACCGCGCAAACAACATTTTCTTAGATTGCAAACACACGCTAACCACATAATAATACAAGCACAGACAAATGACCTCACATGTAATGGATGGTAGGGTAGGTTACGTATAATCGTGCATGGCAACAAACCAACCAACCAAGGCCTCCCCTATAGGAAAGTGAAATGCCAAACTACCAGTTCCTTTCTCTTGGAAGAGGCCATATGTCACCTTTAGCCATGCTTTCCTTCTTAGCCCATATATTTAATAAATTAATTCCCAAAGGTTTACTTCTGTTTTCACAAAACATCTGAGTCACTGGAGATAAGAAGTATTTTATCGAGAAGCACATCACACACCTCCCAGTCACCCTTCATCGACACTTCAAACTGCTGGCTCCTCTACAAGGAGACGGACTGTCGGGACTGGGGCTCTCTGATGACTCACTTGTTATAAAAAGGTTCGATGAGTTTGGATCTGGCCGACACGTGACTTTTTGGAGGACTGAGGAAAGAACCTAATGGGGAAAAGAAGCAGGGCATTAGACATCCACGCAGACAAGCCTAGAAGCTCAGGCAAACATACACTGAAATCTCGTGGTGGAACAGTTTGGAAAAGGGTAGTGGTAATGGTTGTACAAGGTGATGAACATAATCCATGTCACTGAATTAACTCAAAATTGCTAAAATGGCAAATGCGTCATTACGTGGTGAAAGCTGTAAGAGCTGGGACCCAATGGGACTGTCTTGTTTTTCTGGGTCTCATCATGTTTTCTGCTTTCGACAGGGTGCAGTCTTCCCGCTTTTCTATTGCTCTCTATTTAGTGGAAAATACTGCAGTTTTCCTTCTCTGATATGTTTCTGCCTTATACAGGTTTCAGCTTTCCCAGATTTTACTGTATGTTATATTTACCAAAATAAAAAAAAAAAAAAGTAAGAGAAATTCTATTGATATTTAACTGAACAGAAAGGTTCAGCAGTGGACCTGCAGGTGGTAAACACCACACAACATCAAGAGGACCCCAAGTCCCAATATCCCCTGACTCTAACCTCAAAACCTTCCCACTTCTAATTGGGTGAGTGGGACCCCGGGAAACAAGACGGGCGCGATCCTGCCCGACCCCCTGTACAGGTGGCGCCGAAACGTGGAATGAGCACCTAGGTAGTTGGCCATGGAGATGAAGCACAGGCCTGTGATGTACGCGTCATAGCCCGCCTCGTGCAGCTGCTCGGAAGCCGTGTCGTAACTGGGAAAGTCTTCTGCGCTTTCTAAAGGGAAAGAAGGAAAACGGTTTTCCCAAGGACACTGCAGAACATCAAGGCTGCTGTGCACCTTCCCTGCCAAACCCCAACCACAATCAGTCCGCGTTGCAGACAGTCCTGAAGCAGCAAAGGAAGAAAACAAACAATTATGTCCTAACGCTCTCTCCATACAAGGTTGTACGTTATCAGATAATCCTAAAAAGCCAAATCTGCTGCTGCTGAGTAGATTTCTACTCAAAGCAACCCTAGAGGACAGAGTAGAACTAACCCGCAGGCTTTCCAAGGCTGCAATCCTTATGGAGGTAGAATGCCACATCTTTCTCCTGTGGGTCCAAAGCACTGACCTTTCAGGTAGCAGCTGAGGACTTAACCACTGAGCAACCAGGCCCCTTTCTGAGACAATAAAGCATGTGTAGGCTACAGAAATGCTTGGCTGCATTCTCAAAGAGTTAGTCGAGACCTCCTCATCTCATCCTGTGGGTGCCACTTAGGACCACCCAGCACTCACGCCTCTGCTGATGCTTCCTGAGAGCAGGACAAGGGGTGGTTTCCCTTGCAGGTAACGGTCAGACCAGGGCCGAGCAGACGCTCCTGAGTACCGAGTAACAGCAGGGACCTGGAGCCACGGTGCCTGAGTCTGAACGCCGGTTTGTGTCGGCCAGTCCCTTCACCTCTGAGCCCGTCTATGCAGCCGTGCAACGGAAATGGGAATCAAACTCCTTCACAAGGATCTCGTGAGGATCAGCCCAGATAAAGGAGGCACAGCTCTCCCGTCCTGCCCGGCACATGGCAGACACCCGGGGCGGCCCTCTCACAAAGCAAAAGGTTCATATTCAGTACTGTCCTCAGCTATGTCTACAAGCCTAGAGAGCTACAGACATCAGGACCAAGGAACTCCAACCACAGCTGGACCAGAACTTGCTAGGATGCTGCCCTAGGAACCTGGAACCACTTCATAGGCAAGGTCATCCTGTCACATTGTCATCTTTTGCCACACTGATGTACAGATGTTGAGAGGATAAGTGCCCTGCTTTAGACTAAATTCTCTACCAAATTCCAGAATTTCATACAGAAATAATAAGATAAAACTGCAACCAAATCATTCTAGAAATGTACATCAAGGTGACAACAGAATCAAATCATGAACGGAAATTAACAGGGAAAAGACCACAACTGTGTTTACATCGATATAATGCTCTTCCAGCGAAAACTCTTTAACCTCCCTAAGTGTTCAAAATACGCTGTAAATTAAAAAAAAAAAAAAAAAAATAACCTCCCTAAGTGTTCAAAATACGCTGTAAATTAAAAAAAAAAAAAAAAAGGCCTTTCAATGTAGCCAATTAATACCTCTAATCTACCACCAGCTAAAGTCTATTATTTCTAAAGTCAATTACTCCCATTTATGGTTATTTAAAAAAGAAGGTCTAGCTTTTCTTTTCCTCCCATTTTTCTTAATTCTAGTTCTTGGAATAGTACCCCAAAAGGGAAGCATTTAGCTATAATCTTGGCTGGTTGAAGGAACCCCTCTGTCAACCACTGGTGCCCCTGTCAATGCCTTCAGGAGTTTCCAGGCTGGAGCTAACGGAATGTCGCTACAGCACCAGCAGCACCATTAGGGGGACACAGTCAGGGCAGCCGCACCTGGAGGGCTCCCCTGATACGGGGCCGGGGGGCGGGGGGGACTGGACCAAGACGCAGCAGAACTCGGGGCCTCCCTTCCCCAGGAGCACCCCTCCCGACTTCCGCTTTTCCTCACTGCTGCTGTTCCTACCCATAAACCAGTTCACAGCGGAAGTTCCTGGACTTTGCTGAGACACAGAATGTTTTCATTCTAGCCTGGCAATGTCTTTCCTGACATAAAGGGTCATAAAAAAGGAGGCTGCATCAAGTGTCGGGAGAAGTCCAAGCCTTAGGAAACAAAAGCACTGAAGCTCTCATTGCTAAACTTCTCAACGAAACAGCTGCCTCACTCTGTGAACATGAAACGGATGGGACATTAGAAGACCATCCTTACCCACCAGAAGCCAACATCAGTTCAATCCAGGACATGGGCAAGTCATCTCAGTGAAAGCCTACACACCTGCAAACAGTCTCTGCAACAACCCCACCTCTCCTGCCCAACACACATCAGAAATTATCAGAGTCTGGGGCTTTTCAGAACTGTTTTAGAGTCTTACCAACTTCTGGGGGGTTGAAAGGTGTCTCTTTTAACCGCTTTTCCAGTTCTGCAAGGGATGTGTTGGTAATGATATCCTGCAAACCAGGAAAGCAGAGAACTGTGAGTCTTC